GGAGGGAAGGAGAGAGGGGGGAGGGGAAGAGAGGAGGGAGGAGGGAGGAGGGAGGGGAGAGGGAGGGGAGGAGAAAGACAAGCAAGAGCACCGGGAGAACAATCTTCCTCCCACCCTACTCAGCTCTTCAGAACTCTCCTCTGACTGGAAGAGCAGGAAGTGCAGGAGAACCGACTTCCTACTGGGCCTTACAGGAAACACTCTGCTAAAATTAAAGAGCAGCTCCAAGGGCAAAAGTAAATATTTGTGCAAAAGATCCCACTGCCAGGTACGATCTGAGGACACCCTCAAGTTACTCACTGTATAGTGTTTGACTCTTTAAAAGACAAGTCTTTCAAGTTAGGAAACCCGGCGAGTCAGGTGAAGGAAGTTAACATCAGAAAACACATCGTAGAAAAAGGACAGGATATTTTGCTGGCGATTTGCTACTTATTTCAGGACTCGGATCAAGTGTTTGTTAAATATTCACAGTAATTTCAGAGGAGAAACATTTATGTCTGTAAAACTTCAATCTATTGCATTTCCAACCATTTTTCTCTGAAGTGCAACAGGATCGTGTCTGTCCGGCTTCTCCTGCGTCCTCCCGGGCCCTCACACCTTCAAGGCGGGCTGCAGGAGGCCCTTCTCCAGGAGGTGCGTCTTCAGGGTTCTGTAGATGCTCAGTTGCTGCTCCGGCTGGAGCACCAGCAGCTGCTGCAGGACCTTGCTGGGATTCGGGCCCCTGCGGGACAGCGGGGAGACAGAGTGAGCGCTGCTTTCCTAGGGCGAAGGGCGCATCTACCCCAACCCTCTCCCTCAGGCGCAGAGCAGCGACCTCCCAGAACTGAGGCGGCTTTTGATAACAGCTCGCTTTACCGTCCATTGCTGTGGGGGGAGAGAAATCCGGACCTCATCTGCTTTGAGAAACGCACAACCCATATGCAAAAAAAAGGCTCAAACACAGAGCGTGGGGACGACACAGGCCACGAGGGGTGTAAGATCGAGGTCCTACAAAGAGTGTCTGGAGGGCGGGCTGAGCTGAGAGGCAGGGACAGTGAGAGGCCCCAAGACCCCATACGACACAAACCCATCTTGGAGGGAAAGGAGCCTACTGGACATGGGGTAAACCCAAAAGCAGGTATAAAAACATCACTTAAATTCTGTCAAAGAAACAGGGAGGTGGGAATGTGCAGGAGACAGAATACAGACACCCTGGGCCTAGCACCAAGGCCCCTGCCTGGGGCATTGCAACAGGCACCAGAGCCCCCTCCAAGGAAGTCTCAGGGGACCCAACTGCCAAACAAGATCCCAGTGTGCACGGGATGAGGAGGAAGAGGGTCCTCCTGCCCCATCACCCACAGCAGGAACCCGGGGGCCCAGGTGGAGGCCTAGGAAGGGCTGGGCAGTGGCACACACGCTCGCCTGGCCTCCTGGCCACTCTGCTTCACAGCCAGCCTGGAGGCCCCTCTCATAGCACCCTCCCAGGATCTGTGTGCACAGTGCACAAAGCCAACCTCACGCCTGGCCCACGAGCAGCACTACCGCCATCAGGGACTGTGGTTTCCAGCCCTGGACCCCAGACCTCACTCCACTGCTACACCGAGAGCACCCGCGCCTCCGTGCGTCTGCAGCACTGGTACGTTAAGGTGAAGGATGAGCCCCGTAAGCTTCCTGCGTGTGTGCTGCTCCTGCACTTTCCAAGTCTACTCCAGTAGGGAAGGCAGAGTGAGGTTTACATTTGGTGGAGAGAAAACTGGAATAAGAAAGACCCAAGACACATACAGGAGATGGAAGGGAATTCTGACTCACACGGTAAGAGGGGAGATGCACGTGTGAGTTATAACAACCAGAACTGTTTAACCAGCGGCAGGAGGGCAAAATCCTGGCAACAGAGAGAGGTCTGCTGTATGGTGTTCTCACACTGAGGATGACAAGAGAAAACACTTAATCTAGGAATCTGTGATTTATAAAAACTACACAATAGATCCGGTCAGCCAGCCACGGGTCACCCATGCTGACTCGGGTCATCTGCCAACCCACTGTGGCCAGGACCTTCTCACTGCCAAGGGCACTCAGCCAGGGCCCAGCCTGCCCTATTGCATTTCTTCACAAGATTCAGCAAGAGTCACAGCACAGATCCAAAGCAGAGGCCCACAGAGGAAGGAGAACGCTCTGAGCACACTCAGCCCAACGCAAAGCTAGGTCAGCAGATGCTCTGCACCAGCAGCCGCAGCCTGGCCCCAGCAGCCTGGCCCCAGCCTGCATCTCTGACAGGAGGAATATCTGCTTTCATGCGGTGACAGTGAGGCCCAGGATGACTTCTCTCTACTGAGAGAACGGCAGATGTTTCTTAAAAAGAAGAGTGCGAGTTCATGCCCGCAAAAGCTGCATTTTCTGAAAATAAGAGTTCTAAGGATTTATCCACTCACCGCTAATAGCTAAATAATGCCTGTCAACAAATAAATATCTGTCAAAGAGGTTAAATGCTCCAATTTAAGAGACAAAGATTGTCAACTTGATTATAAAACAAAAATTCCAACTAAATGTTTATTAAAGAGAAATCATTAAAAATATGGGTAACGGTTATGGATCTCTCTAGGTTTTTATATAATAGTGAGATTTGAAATACTGAAAAATCTTGTTAATTTTTAGAATTCATTTTCCTTCACAGAGACAAGTGATGTGTTAGCTCTTGGGAACAAACTTGTATAGGTTCTTAATTGAATTATCCAAAATGGCAGCAATTTAAACCTTTTGGATTTATACCAATCTTCTGTGTCTGCTTTTTAAAATAAAGTGCTTGTATTTATACTTTCCAAAAAAAAAAAAAAAAAAAAGATAATGGAATGCTAAAAATAAAATGAGAGAGAAATGCTATACAAACACATCATAAGAAAGTTGCTATAGCTTTTCTAACATCCAAAAAAGTAGGCCTAAAGGCAAGTAGTAAAGATAGCGGACATTATAACATGAAAGGACCAATTCAAAAGAGATATGACTATGTTTGTAAGTACCAATTCAATCTCAAAATATATAATGCAAAAATTGATAGAAGTAGAAAGAGGAATAAATGTATAACCATAGCCAAGAGATTTTAGCAAGGGTCTCTTAGTTACCAACACAACAAGCAGATCAGAAAATAAAAAATAAATCTATACAGAAGATTTAATTAAATTTCTTCCAACTGACAAATACAGTGTTACATCTGAAAACTGCAAAATGCACATTCATTTTATTATAGGCAGCTAAGTTAGACAGAAATTAATATACAGGCAGAGAAGAACTGGGCTCTCAAGGAAGTCAGCAGAAAGAATAAAAACATCAGAATTGTGGCTGGAGGCACATGTCAAGACCGGACCTCAAGATAAAGATGCAGTGGCCAGGCCTACATATCTCCCTAGAGATAAGCAGTAACTCGGAATTACACTATAATTAGCACCACCTGGACCAGGAAGTCCAGCGAGGCATCAATTGCCCAGGTGGGTGATGAGAGCGTCTGGACCCATCCCTCCCCAGAATGGGTTTTTTCTTTCCATGCACCCTTGCTGGGTGACCTGCTTCCTTACTGGACCAATATTTTCTAAGCAGCTCTACTTGTAATCCTATAGGTTGATTATAGTTTGATCCATGTTATACTCACATCGTGACTTTTGTACCCCTGGCAAAGGGCCTTGGTGGCAAACCACTTACAGGACTCCACCTGTCACTTAGGAGCGATCTCTCAATAAATCTTTCTATTCTTAACCTCCACTGTCCTTTAGAATTCATTCTTTGATTTCAGGGGACACGAACTTGACACATCTGACCTCTACCAAGTTGGGAGTTATATTTCTCATATGTCAGTTCCATATGCAGCTGGAACAGGGATCAGTATAGGTCATGTGGTGAACCAGGAACCCAGGTTCAGAAATAAATACTGAAATTACAACGAATGTGTTTCTGACCACATGGGGATTCAAGCAAATATCAACAAAATAAGAAGAATCAGAATGTCTTTGTTTGATTGGAAATTAATCAGTATACTTCTACATAGCCCATGTGTCAAAAAAGATCTTCACATTGGAAATAAGAAAATATCTGTAACTGAGCCAGGAAAATACAAATATAACTTGTAGAATGAAGGAAATGGTACTGATGAGGAAGCTTATAGTCACAGACAAGAAGGCTGAACATCAGTAATCTAGGTTTCATCTCAAGGAGCTAGAAAAGAACAGCAAATTAAAACTATAAGAAGATACAGGAATGAAAAATGAAAGTGGAAATCAATGATATACAGAACAAATACACCACAGAGAAAACTAACGCAGCTAGCAGGAGTTATTTGAAAACATTAATGAAACTGATAAACCCCTAATAAGGCTGCGGTCTCTCCAAAAAAAGGGAAGATAGCACAAACATCTTTCTACTGCTACAGGTGTATATTCAACATATGTACTTAGGGATCTCTAAGCATGAGTTTCCTTGTAAGTAACTCTATGAAATCTATGCTGTCCAGAGCTCAGGTGCTATGAACAAGGGGCCTGCCTCTGGGCCCATGGAAAACAACATGCTTAGCCTGTGCACCAAACTTCAAGTTTATGGCAGACCCACAAGGTGCAGTTTTCTTATCAAGAATAAACCACCTTTATGAAACAGAGATAGCCGCCACCCAACCCCTCCCCACAGGCAGAATCACCCGCCCACTTATCTTTGTTCTTGGCACTTACAAGTATCTATCAAGCTGTATTTATTTATTGCCCACTTCTGGTCCTCCTCTCGCTAATCTGTCAACTCAAGCTGCGAGGGCAAAGCCCTGGTTTTGTTCTCTGCTAAATCTAGGACTTCCAGGATACGTAATAGGCGCTCAAGCAATAACTGGCAGACTGAATGGTTTTCTACTTTTTAACTCTTATTAGTTTTTACCATCCCTTCAGTGCCCACAGATGAGAAACTTACCTCCTCATATTTCAGATCCAGCCTTAGGTACATTCACTGCCTCATCAGCTTGACCCTATTAAGAGCCATGCATACACTACTTTTGTGTCCTGTGCTAAGTTGCTTAAAGGTATGTAAAACAGTTGCAACGTATCTGTATCACATTACTCAAAGCTACAGTCCCAGGGGGCCACAGTCTCTTTGATACTGCAGATTCTCAGTGACAGAAATGTTACCTTATTTACACTGACATTCAAACGAATGTCAGTGTAAATGAGAACTCAAAGTGATCATGCAATGCAGTTTCGGAATGCATAGGTACCTTATGAAACTTGTGATGTATACGTGCACGAAAGTAGCCATCAAATACTGACAGTCAAATCTGTCCATGATCCCGCCATGCCCAGGGATGGTGTTTGCAAAATCCTTCAGAAAGAAGTAAATACATTTGTGAATTTGGAAGAATATCACCTGTATAAAACTCTTCTCTTTTCGTTTTTGGTTTTTTTTTTTGTACCAAGAATCAAACTCAGGACCTTGCACTTGCCAGACAGGCATTGTGCCACTGAGCTATACCTCCAGCCCTTATCTTTACAGACATTTACATGTCTTTTCAGTGTCACGAGGTACATCAGGAAAATACTATTAAATTTTGCCACTAAATGCAAATTTATTAGAACACATTCAACAGATTAAAGCCACATCTTTTAAGTATGAGCTCATTTCAGCAGGATTTGGGAACTGACCCATAGCATCCAAGTGACACTAATTAAACATTTAGTTGGTTTTTCTCCGGTACCAGGAACCGAACTCACGACCTTGCACTTGCCAGGCAGGCGCTTTTGCCACTGAGCTAAATCCCCAGCCCCTAATTAAACATTTAAATGAACTTTTTTTTCATTAATGGAAATCTTTCTAAAGAAAAATTCAGTTATTACTAAGAGAGAATATTGGTGTAGCCTATCCTTTGGTTGAAGCAGGACTGAATTGGGAGCTGGTTTAGTTCTGTTGACAGGTGTACAGGGCTAACAGTTCTGAAATGAACAGTTTACTTCTACGACGCCTATTTCTTAAGTGTTCAGGTACAGAGCGAGTCACAGCAGCAGCTTACCTGGGACATGGGGCCCAGTAAGTGGCCAGAGGGGCAGTGAGCCTGCACCCTGGATGCCTTCATGGCCCAGCCCCCTGACTGCCTTCTCTCAACTCTCACATGGCCACAAGGCTTAGCTTTTTGTGTTCAGTTGGTCGGTTTCATTGCGTTAGGTGAAGCTTATTTGTTGGTGTGTTTTTATTAGCATAGGTTGCAATATGGAGTAACTGTGCTCCCGCTGGGGAACTGTACAGACACATGCTACGCCTTGATCCTACTTCCGTCCCGTCCACGCCTCCCTATCTCGGACCCCACTCCATCTTCACAACGTCTGCCTCCCCATGTCCTAGCACACGTTTTTTATTCTGCTCTTCAAATGACTTATACCTTGGCTTTCTCATATAGGACAAACCTATATGTGCTCCCGCTGGGGAACTGTACAATATTTCACCTTCTGTGTCTGACATTTCTCTCAGTACTGTGCTCTTGAGGTGCACCCACCCTCCTACCCACCAATGACTCACATGTGTCCCTCCTGGCCACACTGTGCCTGCACCCCTCGGCTCCTCTGCACTTACATCCCTCCCTTCGCTTTCTCTGCACGACCGACTCTCCCACTGTCCTTTGCTCAGACCTTTCCTCAAAGAGACCTTCCCTGATTTCCCGCCTCCACCTGGCTCACCAACCCCTCAGGGCACACATCTGACCCTCTCTGAAGTAAGGAAGACTAGGTGGTGTCACTTCATGATGAGCTAACCTCACCAAAACACATGGAGAGTGTTTAGTGTCTAGAGCAGGGTGTGAAGAGCAGGTCCCACAGGCCAAATCCGGCCCACAGCCTGCTTTGTAAATAAAGCTTTATTAAGACCCAGCTGTGCGCCCTCACTGACATATGCAACAACAGAGTTCAGAGTTGAGAGAGGTGTGAAAGAAGTGATGGTCTGCTGTGCTGAATACAACTTAGTATTTGCTCTTAATAGGAAAAGTTTGGTGAGCCACAGTTGAATGGACAGCTACCCACGCAAAGGCTCTTACGCATACCCCTCAAGTGAGACTGGCCAAGCACTAAGTCTCGGACCATTCATGGCTAGAGCCCAGGATGAGTACTTGAATAAACAGGACTTGCTGTTTATGCCAATAGTCAGGGGACAGGCCATTTCTTTCAGGGGCTGGCAGGACACTTTAGGATGGATGTGTTCACATGGCACAACCAAAAGCTAACAAAAAAGCACACACTCAAATACAGCAGGCAGCATTTTTGTGCAGCTAAAACAAATTGCAGGTACAGTTGTTTCTTTTTTGTTTTTTTGGTTTTTTTTGCCTAAGGATTAAATTTCAACCAATAATGGCCAAATTCCAACTAAGATACCTTCTCTAACCCTGCTCGTGTATGATGTAACAGAGAACACAAATGCATACCTTGATTTTGAAAGCTCTTTTGAATCCGCTGGCAAAGAAGCCTCCGAATGGGCCAATTAAAGAAGCGAAGGTTGAAAGAGCAATGCTGTGTATCTGGAAAGGATACAAACTCACTGTGTCCTGCACAGGAAAAAGAAAGGGGGGATGGGGGGACATTGGGATTAACTGCATTATTCAGCATGTCTCCTAACGCGGAGGTCATAACATAAAGCTAAGTCAAAGCAGACAGCACATTCTTTCTTTTTTTGTAATTCCCCAAGCTTTAAGGGTCAGGAGAGGAAGTCCACTGCAAGCCGTCTGTACTGTCAACTGTTTCACCTGCCCCTCCGGTCCCTCAGCAAGGCACCAGGAAACCCCGAGTCCAGCAGCTGGCACAGCACGTTCCAGCTGACCTAGGAACTGGACAGCCAGTGGTAGGGGCTGAAGTGTGTGCTGAGAATCTGCTGAGCTAATTTCTATAAGGGCTCTTTTCTAACCAGTAGTACTGGTAATAAAATTACTTTAAATTTGTGCTTTATTTCATTTGATTTAATTTTATATGGTGAAGAGGCAAAGTTGGTTTTTTTCTCTTAGTGCTATGCTGAATGCTGTGGAAACATACGAATATAAGGAACAATCAAAATGATCATCAGCAAGACAATTATAAAAGAGGGGAAAGAGGGTGAAAAGAGAATTCCGCAGTCTGACTACTCTGCAAATCCATACCTCTCACCCCCTTTAAATAAAAATTGAGGTCAAAGCAGCAGTCACCCCTGCGTCAAAGGCTGGCGCCACTGAGAATGCCACAGCAGGGAACAGAAAGCTCAGACACTGGACACTTAGTGAAAGAAGTAACTTGTTGGTTAACCTGCTTCTAAAAACTGACCAATTTTGGTTAGAAACAAAATGCTAAGATGCACACCCACGCACATGCGCACGGTCTGATTCTCCTTTTTAGAGGACCGCAGCGCAGTCCTGACAACACAGAGCAGGAGGGTGCGGCCGGGGAGCTTGCTGGTGCCCTCACAGGGACCTCAGAGCGCCCGAACTGGCAGCAGTGTGCTTCTGGGAGGAACGCTCACTTTTAAAAACAGACGCTTCCCGTGCTAATCAAAATCCTATAAAATGTGAACGCTCTTGGAATTGGTGAATTTTGACCAAGTTGAGCTAATTCATACCAATAACTTGTAAAACTCATTCTAATTCATTTGATTTGTAAAAATCTACTCATTATTAAAAAACATTCTTAAAACATATGCAAAATAAATTACCATCAATAGGCGAATACAGTCTTCGCACACAAGTGATTTGCAATTTTCAAACTCATTTCATGCTTAAAAAAGAGAAACCCCAATGGTAGAACATTTTATTGATGGTAACCAGACATAAAAATCACTGTGACACCATCAAGTTAAAAACCATGGCCGGGGATGGTGTACATGACTGTAATCCCAGCACTCGGGAGGCTGAGGTGGGAGGCTGAGGCAGGAGTATCGTTTCGAGTTTGAGACCAGCCTGCACTACAAAGTGAGCTCAAGGCCAGCCTAAACTACATAGCAAGACCCTGTCTCAAAAAGAAAAAAAAACAAAAAAAAAACAAGACTCTGCAGGACTTGGCTTCTGGTAGAAATCTGACCTCATATTTACAAGCGCCCTGACCACACATCTGGAGCATTTGCTTTTACCCGTCTCAGCACCGCCTGCAGGAAGGAGGGCAGCTGGTAGCTGTGCAGCTGGAAGAGGTCAGCGGGCTCACACTCGGTGACAAAGGAGTTCACATCACTGCGGTACTCAACGGGGCACACGAAGTACTGGTACTTGGAAAGCACGTAGGCGGCCTGAAGAACAGAGAGGAGCCCGTGAACAGTGCCCAAATACACATGCTGTGTGTCAGAAAGGCTGCACGGGGAACTCACAAGTTGCTTGTATTAACATTCTGCCCAGCACTTTTAACACTAAAAGGTCGTCCTAATAAATGTTCCAGTTTAACAAGCAAACAAACAGATGAAAAAAAAAAAAAACCTTGGAAGACCTTTAGAAAAATAAAAGGTCTTTTTTGAAAGCAAAGAGATCTCCATATGACTGCAGCGGTGGTAGGAAGGAGCTAATCTCAACACGCATGCTACTAAGATCTTGCTTTTTAAAAGTATGTGCAATCTTACTAGAAGCTACAGAGCTGAAGGACTGAATTAGGAAGATATTGTACAGCAGAGCAAAAGATTTAATTGCACATAAACTTATACTAATTTAAGCAGTTAGTAGTAATTAGCTAGTGATTCAAAATTACTAAGAAGGTAGCACAAAATAACACAGGTGAAAAGCACCTCTGTTTTTCACCAACCCAGAAAATTTGACTCAATTGTTCCTTTATTAGCCGCATCATTAAACCAGCTGTCCTCAGCCAAGGAAGCAAAGGATGCATAAAATAAAACATCCTGTTATAAATTTCAGTTGGTGAACAACAGTTTGTTCTGTTTTCTGTTTCCCTTGCAGCCGTTCACGCCATTATTTTGCCCATGGATAGTTAGTAGAAACTCAAATGAGACTCTAAGGATGGGTAAACTAATTTTGCTTCCAAATAACTGATTTCTTCAAAAGCATTTGTTTAAAAAAATACAATCTCCCTCCTATTTTCTCAAAGGCTACATTCTTGTAGGGTAACTTTATTTTTTTCCAATGGTGTAAATAGTCCTACAGTATTTCTAAATTAATCTTTAATAATACCAAATCCTTATGGTATTATTTAACTTAATGCTTTGATTATTCCTGTTTTTTAGTGTATAAAATAGGATTAGACAATTTTTAATTATTCCACTTATTGGTTATTATCAATATTCTACCTCAAAAATTTCAGAATAATTTTATGAAACTCTACTGGAATTTTCCCTGAGAATGAGCTGAATTTACGAAGTAAAAGGAGGAATTAAACTAGTTTTCCAATCCAGGATAACGGCACATTTCCGTTTATTTGTATATTTACTCTATCTCTAAGCTCCATGTTACTACTAGTTACTCTACTAGACTAGACAATTTTTAAACTTCTTAACAGCATTTCTTTGTATACTTATCTTATATCTAGTCATTTATGGTACCCTTACTCAAATTCCCTGCATAATTATAAGCTAATTTTTAAACATGAATAATACTCATTATTTATGACTAAAAGTTAACATTATTTTATAATTTACAGACTTTTCCTGTGAGTTTAGCTCATAGCAGGAACCGCCCACTGAGTCATGTGGCCACCAAGTATTAAGAGGGAAAAATTTTCAACATCATCTGCATTCTTTGCTGTCACTCAGATACTGCAGTTCCAGCACCCATGTCTCCCACAAGGCAGGACAGCAATAAGAAACTATCAAAGCACAATAGCACAGTAGTGGACCTCAGATCAGGCTGTCCACCAAGAGCACCTGAGGAAGTTAGTGATCCTGAGACAAAGCTGGGACACAGACTTTGTTTAGGCTCTCCAGGTGACTCTGGTATGCAGCCAGGGGCCTGGGATGCAGAACCGATTCTGTGTTAATAGCTTTCAATAAATATATTATTAGCATTCTATGGTTTACTTTTTAAGGTTTAAAACAGACAAACTTTCATTTGAAAAATATCAGTAAAAATCCTAGTAGAACTCACAATGAATCCAAACACGACTGTAGAAAAGAAACCGCCAATGAATCCTTCCCAAGTCTTTTTAGGAGACAACTAAAAAAGGTCAAGTGAAATTAAAAAGAGTTACTGCACTTATAGAACACATCATGGACATGCAAACTCTGACCAAGGAGTTTCTCAATACCTTGCACATCTTCCTTACTTTTCTCTTACTGGAACTACTTAAAAGTCTTTTTTCTTCCTTGTGATTCTGATTTGCTTGTGCAAATGTCTTTACCGGCATCTAACATAACAGGACCAGACATGTGTGACATACTGTATTTGTTTCTTATAGATAGTCTCCAACTGCCAGAGCTTTTCCCCCTCAAAGGGCTATGAACTGTATAGTGAAATAATTATCCTATGCCGTTTATGCTTATCTAGGAATAAGGATGACATATATTCATTCCAGGTACACAGAGTCTTTGCTGACCTGCTACTGACCAAAAACAGAGTGAGGACCACATATGTGGACACGGCACAGCACACCCAATTTTCATTCGTTCCTAACGTGGAATACATAAAAGGATCTCTTTCTGAAATGGTAAGATTCTCCACAGCCCCAAATACTGTATTTGCTCAATTATTCACATACTCCCCCCCACTCCCATCTGTCAGTCTCCAGAAAGACAGGAGGATCATGTTGTGATTCTGAGGATAAATGCTGTTTGTTTCAGAGCTGAGCTATTGTTGTCCGGTCAATGGGGCATTCAGGGAGAGAAAGTCTGGAACAGCAATGCAGGGGCTGGAGGAAAAGATTTAGGAGTGGAGGGTGGGGCCGACTGCCCCGAGTCGCTGGGGAGGAGAAGGGCTGGAATCAGGACATCACAGAGAAGCTTCGTGATTATCAGTTCCTTGAAACAAGCACTAACAGAAGCTAAATGTCAGGGAAGTGTCTAAGGTTAGAAATGGGTTTCAGGTGAACTTCCTGGGCTGTTTACAGACCTCTTGGCTGGACGCTGATAATCCTGGGCCTCGGTTGTTGCCTAACATAGCAGCGGTCTCAAATTCAGGTGTCTACTGATGAACTTATCAAATCAAGCTGATCCACATCAGGTCAGTTCAGGGGTTAATGGTTCAGTTGCCGGGAGTGTCACACAGCTGAGCAGCCTGTCGAGTCACTAGAAAGCCACGCTCAGCATCAGCCACTGAAGTCCGTCTAGAGCCTAACAGGCTCTCTAAGTCCAGAACAGCCCACACAGATCTCTTGTATACTCTGACTTATTTTTGTACTGCAGCAGCTTCAGAGGCGTTCAAGGCACATACCTTGCTGCCAGCATCCCTACGGCTCTGCCTGGTGCTTTGCTGGATTCTTGCATGGAGAGGCGTTTTTGTTTTTGTTTTTTTGTCCCCCGCCACTTTTCTGGCATTACAGATGGAATCCAGGGCCTCATGCATGTTAGACAAGTGCTCTACCACTGAGCTACATCCCAGCCCTCACAGGGGAAGACTGTGGAAGGTTTTCTGCAGGATAAGCAGTCCACTCATTCCTCCACAAGTGCTACGCTGCCCCATATCACTCTGAATACACAGAAGGTTTGATTCCTGACTCATGGGCTCAGTCCTTGCCCAAATATTACAGTAACCATGCAATATTTGTGCGGGAATATTACTGAAGACTTTGCCTAATATGTGGAACAACTCCTGTTTGAAATCCCAATATAAAAGCACTTATTAGAAAAATCAGTTCTAGAAAAATGTTTAATTTCCATGAAGAATTGGCTTGTTTCTTTCTTACTCAAAATAATAATCATATAACAAATTTTGTGTGTGTGATGATGATGTTGGGGATCAAACCCAAGGGATCTCTGCCACTGACCTATCTCCTCAGTTATTTTTATTCTTTATTCTGAGACAAGTCTTACTAAGTTGTCCAGGTAGGGGCTTGAATTTTTTTTTTTTTTTTTTTTTTGGTTTTCTTCCGGTACCAGGAATTGAACTCACGACGTTGCGCTTGTCAGGCAGGCACTTTGCCACTGAGCTAAATCCCCAGCCCCCGGGGCTTGAATTTTTGTTTCTCCTGCCTCAGTTTCCCTCAGTGCTAGGAGTACAGGTGTGCACCCCCATGCCTGGCTAACACATTTCATTTCTTTCTTTGCCTCCAAGCATGACCAAAATCTGTGGCAACAATCTGCTTGTATTTTTTCCCTCTAATTTTAATCCTTTATTACTTGTGTTCTATTATTTTATTCAAGGGTCCCCAGATCTTTTTAAAAATGAGTTTATATATAAAAGTCTTGCACATGGACCAGAGTGCATGAATATGGTGTAACTTACTCTTTCAGAAACTCTGGCAAATGAAAGGACAGCTGGGGAGATGGCTAGGGGGAACAGCTACAGGGAGAGCAGTTAAGGGGTCCCTCTTAGGGCTGCTTGGGAAGAACTGCATTGTGGGAGAAGCCAGCAGGAAGGCGGGAGGGGCCTGCAGGAAGGTGGGAGGGGCCTGCAGGAAGGTGGGAGGGGCCTGCAGGAAGGTGGGAGTGGCCTGCAGGAAGGTGAGAAGGGAAGGGACATGATCCCCCCTCCAGGTGCAGGGGACCCAGGGGGATTTGGTGGAAGATGCGCTCCCTGCTTTTACCCTGGGGCTGCTAAGTGCAGCTGGGGAAAAAGTCAAGGTATTTTAGAACACAGACCATATACGGCAGTACTGAGTGGCTGAAAAATGATTCTGGTGGCTGATTTTTAAGGCTATGGGAGTGGTTTGCATGTAACACTTTCCATTACCTTAATTAATGGAGTTCTTCCAAAAAAAAATCCAAAAAGGTAAGCAGTAATGTCATTGCAGATAACACTTGATATTGGAACAAGGAACCTTTAAAAAAGAAAAAGTCAGCAGAAAAAAGTCCCAATGATTAAGCAGCAAATATTCATATAGGCTTATGACTCATAATAAACCAATATAATAATCCTTTAGATTATACTTCTGCCCAGCCCAGAGTATAACACTTGACAAAACATTAGCAGTAGCAATAAATATACCAGATATGCTCATCTAGCAATTAAGTAGATCACAATCTATAAATAAACTAACATAGTAAGAGAATATGGCTAAGGGAAATGTTAAATAATCAATTTCTATGGTTATGGACTTTTAAATCTTAGTTTTATGATGAACAAGTTGCAAAAAATAAAATTTCTTTTAAGAAAAATAACCTTTTAAAATGGAAATGAGTCTACCACTTTAGACAGAGCATCTGATAAATTTAAAGCAAATTCTAATAGGAAAAATTATCAATTTATTTTTATCCCAGTCTGTGATTATGTTAAATCCTACTAACCATTACATAATCTACTTTTTTTTTTTTTGTCGTTTTGAGACAAAAAGACTCACTATGCAGTTCAGGCTGGCCTTGAGCCCACTTTGTAGCACAGGCTGGTCTCGAACTTGCAACAATCCTTCTGCTTCAGCCTCCCAAGTGTTGGGATTACAGCTGTGCACCACCACGCCCTGCAATCTACTTATTTTAGAAACTGCTCTGCATCAATAAAAGTTTTTATATGGTAGACAAATGATTCCAAGTGTTTATCCACACACGAACATGTAAAGATCTCAGTAAAAACATGTTATAAAATTTATCTTAATAAACCCAATAAGTTGATACTATTTTAATTAATGGGCTTAAAAATGAATGTGGGGGAAGTATAATCATTCTTTTTTTTTAATGTTAAGCCTTTCCCTCATTCCAACTAATTGTAACAAGTGTATGAACTTTTTTGGGGGTTACCAGGAATCGAACTCAGGGCCTCACGCTTGCCAGGCAGGCATAACTTTTAATTAATATAAACACTCTCTCAATCTTCACGACACTGCTGTAGAGCTGCAACTCCACCCCTGGAATCTGGAAACTCACTCCTCCAAGGCACAGAGGGGCATCCGCCCAACTTCTCCCTAAATGCTGGAAATGCACAGCTGGTACATGCTTGGTGACGAGCAAACTTTCTATTCTTCTCACATTCCATGTAAATATGAAATTCTTTTGAAAATCTGTTCTTTATAGAAGCCACACTAAGGTTTATTAGTATCTGCAAATACCACTGGGGCTTATTGTGAGGACTTTCTGCACTTTATTGAAAACTTTAAGAGAGTTTCCAGTTGTTAATGAAGCATTTTATCTTCAGATGTGAAACAGTAAGCAAACTCAGTGATTTTCATGCAATAGTGGAGCGGCAAGTAGTATATTTCAGTGGACACTGGGAGACACTGCCTACAGTTATGGAGTTTCAAGGGAGCCAGACGTAACTATGACATAGTATAAAGCTGTCTGCTTACCATATCATGCCTTCAAACAGATTCTGGATGACCAGATGCGACTGGGTGACAGTGATCAGTAAAGTGACGTGAGTCCATGCGAACTGTCAACAGACCAACAACATAAAAGTTAGCGGGCACCGCGGCAGGGAAGCCAAGGGCACAAGCGCAAAGTGGAAAGACCAATTTCTGCCCTGACTTTTGGCCAGACTTTGTAAGATAAGGTCACACAGAGTAAGTGCATTTAGTAAACAGAATTCACCTACATTGCCTGCTAGAATCTTAACCAAATGAAAATATTTACCGAAGTCATCTTAAGTTATACACGCACGGCACGCTAGTAATGAAATATATTACTAAATTTTAAAAACTCACAAAAGAAGTGAACCATAATCTTGAATCTCTTAATTTAAATGATGGTGAGGAATTTATGCTACTGCTATGGCACGTAGGGAGAAACATTTATTCTACTCTGGCTGCAGTCTGCAGTTATGAAAAATGCTAACAACTGCTTTCCTTTCAAAGTTTATCATGATAACATTTGCCCACACTGAAGTATTTCCAACTTGAAATGACCCAAACCAGCAGGGTTCAATGGTCTGCTCCCCTACCCTCGCAGTATTGGAGACCAAACACGGGGCCTCATACATGCAAGCACTCTACCACTCAGCTACATCTTCAGACCTATCTATGTTTGTTTGTTTCTTTCTATCCATTCATCTACCTATAAAATTTGACATAGGGTCTCATTAAATTGCCCGGGCTGAGCTTCAACTTGTAATCCTCCTGCCTCAGCCTCCTGGGTAGGTGGGATTACAAGCATATGGCATCATCCATTGACCTTAAGCTCCATCTTTCCCCACTTGAAAGTTGGTCTTCACAGGTCTGTACTGCGATAGTGTTCGATGTCACAGTTCCTAAGTCCTCTGTGTCCCATCTGGCCTGAGAGCTGGCCATGTTAGTGACTCAGCGCAATCACTGACTAGGATGGGAACCGAGAGAAGGTGGGTTCCTGGATACCAGCATCAGAATCTTGGCTGGAATTTGTAAAACAACTTTTCAAAATAATTAGAAATTTGTTTTATCCTTAATAAACCTGTTTTCCATTTTAGCAAAAAATACTTTATGTAGGTTGTTCTGTTTTATTATTTTATTTATATAAAAGAACCAATTCATTGATGCTAGTGGTTTCAAAATCCACAAATGATTTTTTTCAACATTTGTGTAGTTGGCCCTCTGTGTCCCTAGGTCTTACATCTGTGGACCCAACCAAGCAGGGACTGAAAATACCTGGGGGCATCTGTACAGATTTATTCTCTTGTCATCATCTCCTGAGCAACACAGTATAACTTTTCTTTTTCTTTTGTTTTTTGAGACAGGGTCTCACCATGCAGTTCAGCCTGGCCTTGAACTTACTATGTAGCTCAGGTTGGCCTTGAACTGCTGCCTCGGCCTGAGTGCTGGGATTACAGGCATGCGTGACAATGTCTGGCCATAGCTTACCTATTTATTCAGCTTTACCATTGTATTAGGCCTTATAGGTAGCCTAGAGATGATGCAAAGTCTATAGGATATGCGTTGGTTATACAAAAATACTCTACTATTTTATATAAGAGCACCGAGCACCCATGGGCTCTGGGATTCGTGGGTTCCTGGAATCAGTTTTCCAAGGTTCCAAGGAAGGGTTGTCTTCTTAAAGGAGATTCTAATTTGTCTTGATCATTTCTAGATTTCCACTAACAGTTTTACTTTTCACTCTCAGATTCCCTGAAATTAGAAAAGTAAGAAATACTACAATTTCCCAGCAGTCATAATTAGCAGGATATCTCAATGGAGAAAAGCAAAGCACAAACAGGGAACATAATCCCAATCTAAAACAAGGCTTGTTAATACATGAATTCACAGATCTAAACAAAATGCTGTATTTTAGTTTCATAATTAGCTACATTATAAAGAAACAGGAAAAGTTCACCAAGCAAGGTGATAAATTTCATAAAACATAGACTTTGACTCGCTCAGCCAGGCAGCTCATGCCAAAAAGAATTATGCAATTCTGTGACTAACCATAATTACCTCCATGGCTGGTAGCAAGGGAGACAAAGTAAATTTCTATAGAACAACATGCAGGGGCTTTCCAGACTTTGTAACCACTGTAGAGACTACAACAATGCTTCAAAATTCTACATGTGTAGGGAATTCAAATCTGCTTTTTCAAATTTTAGTCACTGGAAAAAAATTTTAGCAAAGTTTTGGGGACAGATAAAATTTTGTCATTAGAAAAAAAAGTTTAGCAAAGTTTTGGGAACAGTTAAAATTTTTTAAGACCTCCAAAATGTCTCAGGTTCAGTTTTCTGCATTCGGTGGGAATCTGAAATTGAAATATGCTTCAATCACACTAACGGAAGATTTCAGCTAGCAGACTAGGTTACATCTCAATACAGGAAGAAAAGAAGAGAGGTAAGTAGGGTTTATGACACATAGTGGTTAATACACACCATATAAAACTGCAGACGGTAATGTTTCTTCACCAAGCTCAGTACAAACATGCAGAAACCTGTTCAAGAACAAAAAACAGGCGCTTGTTGTGCAATTTGGTACAAAGCATAAGACGCCCTGAGGGCAAATGAACCAATTTCCCACGTCCCGTGATTCCCCCGTCCCGTCTAGGCACACACAGCCCCTCCTGAGCCGCCGGCTTTCCTACTGCCTCACATTAAGCAGGTCAAGTAAGTTTCCAGGGTAAACCACCGCACAATTGGCGAAGTGCCTAGTATACCCCATGGACAAACTCAATGAACATCTCCTGCCTTCTACTACCAGGTAGACATGGAACACAGACCTGGAATTTCGGTTCAATAAAACTTATTTGCTCCATCAATTCATTAAGAGCAGCTTGGGGGTGGAGCTCAGTGTGACCACGCCTGCCCTGCCTGTGCAAGGTCCTGGGTTCCATCCCCAGCTCAGGAAATCACACGTACACATGCAAGAAGCCTGAAGAGCCTGTTCGTCCAGAGTGTGCACAGGTTTCCAATCTCTATACAATATGAAATTATTAATAGCTATTAATAATTATTAATAGCTATAAATAACTGCTAATAATTATTAACAACCATCAATTATAAATATGGTAGCTAACATCTACTGGACACATTAGGTCCCAGGCCCTTATCTAAGCATTTTATAATTAACTCATTTCATCCTACTGTGATTTAGGTGCCTACTGTCACTCTTTTAGACAGTGTCTTGCCATGTAGCTCAGGCTGGCCTTGAACTCACCACGATCCTCCTGCCTCAGTGTCCTGAGTGCTAGGATTACGGGGCGCATCCCCATGCCTGGGGGCTCCGGGGGCTGTAGAGCAGCGCTCAGCTCCTCATTCTCGAGAGCTGTGTGGTTCCACAGGAGCCCAGGCTAGCAAGACTCAGGTGAAGAGCAACTAAAATTTCTCAGAACGATATCATAATAATTATAGTAAAATACAATACTTTTAATAGTTTCAAGATTTACCACCAGTATATGAGTTTGTTTGTATCCTGTAAGTTTTATTAGAAAGAAAATTTACTGAATAAAAATTCTTACCCAATTAAAAGAAACAAACCATATACTAAAATAATCAGAGGCTGTAGGAAGCACTCCTTGGTCATCACACCAGTGCGCTTTGAGAGACAAATTTTTTTTTTTTTTATTAACAGAGTCAGATACTGACAATGCACAGACCAGGTCTAATTCTAGATAAATGGCCATGGGTTCTGCAGCACCCTTGGATAGGTTCTGAGACAGAAATGGAGCTGTCCATTGACCTCCTCCACTAAGATAATGTTAGTCTTGGCATACCTGCATTCTATTTCCAAGGTGATTCTACCCACTGGAGCATGCAAGGGTGCTAGTACTCTCCTAGAGCAAAGAACCAAGCTGCAGATGCTGCTTTGATGACTCATGGCTATGTTCTGATGACTCATGTGAAAGATCAAATAAGAGTAAAGCAGGAGGCAAAGGACGAGAATGTGTACTGATCTCAGTTCCTATCTCCTATCTGTCCTCTATACCGGACGGCAGGAGCCACACAGAAACAGTTAATGAGCACACACATAACCAAAAGCCATTACAGAGGAGTAGAGGGAAAGAGAGGAAGAGACAGACAGAGAGACAGAGAGCAAGACAGACAGAGAAGGTGGATGGGGGAGGGGAACATTAAACATGGAATTAATGGCATTGCAATCACCAACTGGATAAAAGCTTCCTTCTAAAATTATTGCTTCGAAGTTTTTCTTCTATAGCAAGTAGACTTGCAGCTCAAGTGATATAATTTTTACGCTGTTTTATGCCATAGGCCCCCGGCTGAAGCCAAGCACAGACTGAATGAGGGAAGACAGGCAACACAGACACCAGTCAGAAGCTGCTGGAACTTCTAGTCCCGTCCAAACAGACCCCTGGGCTCCCAGTGCGGCCCTGGGAACTTATCGGTACCGTTAGCTATGAATCCCTCCTAACAAATACTGCACTGCACTCTATGACTTTCTCTTTCTTGAAATCAAGTAATACCATTTGCTCTTAAGAACTTCAAACAAAATTTCCAGCAGTATCATTCAATATTCATCTAATGGACATTTTACCCAGAACAGTCCTGGCAATTCACTTTGACTTGGTCCACTTTTACCTAAAGGATATAATGACGATTCCTAAGCATATTAAGATAACGCACTGCTCTGACTTTAGGGGAAGAGGTAGAAGTGTCTTCTTAGCATATCTAAAGCTAAATATTATTTTTAAAGAAGAAAACGCTGGGAAAGAAACATATGAGCTTAATCACTTTCACTCTCAGCCATGTGAATATTTTATGCTTAATATGTAAAAAATGCATATATACCATATTTTAATACATCTATGGAAAGGATAATTTATATTTTTGGATCCACATCATCTTACTCTTTCCTTACCTAAAAAAGAATATTTGCATAGCTATGTTTCCAGCTAAAATCACAGGCTTCACCACAGTATTATAAATCAGAGTGCTCACAGAAAAGGCTACTAACGTACAGCTCTTGGTATATAATTATGTTTGGTGAAACTACTGAACATCACTCATGAACACAGAGTACTGTGCCTGGCACTGCTGAAACTAAGATGTGTACGTCTTACAGCCTAGTGTGAAGGGATCCCCAGGGCGTTAGGGAGAACCAGTTATCCAAGAGGCTAAAGAGGGGCTGGGGATTTAGCTCAGTGGCACAGCGCTTGCCTGGCAAGCGCGACGTCATGAGTTTGATTCCCGGTACCGGAAAAAAATCAAGAGGCTAAAGAGAAGTATATTCAGAAAGAAGAAAACAAAGAATGATGCTGTTAAGAAAACTAGGAGTACAGGAAAAACAAAAAAAGCTCATACTGAAAAATATTTTTAGCTCATGGTTTGTGGAGCTAACATAGGATGTGGCAGCTAACTAAGATGTGGCAGTCATTCTGACATTTAGATAAATTGTGTAGAGTGAATTAGACCAAAAGCAGAGAAAATAATTTGTGAGACTGAAAATAGCAAGGCCAAGATTTTCTCTAGACTCCCGCCTCTCCTCCTCCCCTTCCTCCTCTTCTTCTCTCTCCCCCTTTGTTCCTATGTATCTATCCATCCATCCATCCATCCATCCATCCATCCATCCACACACACATATGTCCAGTGCATAGCAGTGTCCTTGAGATACAAATATATATACCTTCATCACTTTCGTGATTTGGATTTGGATCTGTAGAAACCAGAGCAGCCATGTGGACACGTGTTCGGTGGTGATGGCTTCGAGCGTTAGACCCTTAAATTCATTTCTAGCCACACTGAAAAGTCCAAAAGATGATTTTATGGCCTATATCTCAACGTGCCCCCAAAGCCTCATGCACGCCTAAATGGGGCTTTGGGGAGCTGGCTGGATGGTGGGTGTGTGATTGGTAGAGCACAGCTCTGGTGTGATAAAGGTTGAGTGATGGTGTCTACTTGAGAAGTTTAGTTAAGAGAAGCTTAACTAAACTGGCTCAGCAATTCCACACCCTAGGGGGTGGAAGACCCACCCTATGCCGGCTCATCACTGGATGGTACAAAGGGGAAATGAAGAAGGACAGATCCGCTTCTGTTTCCTCAGAGGAGCTCCGGTCTTCACCTGCACTTTGGATGTTGTCTCCTGGCTTCCAGCAGACTCTCTGGCTTCTGCAACAAATCCTTCAGCTTCCCGGCATAGACTCTTCAGCCTTCCATAGCTGACTGATTGGCCTCCTTTTATGGACTTTCATGGGACACTGCAGTGGGCTCCAGATTTTGGACTCAACCATTCAGTTTCCAGTATGCAGATACCCTCTGCACTCTTCCTCATCCGACTCTGTGGGTGATCATTGTAAGGCAATTGTGTAAATTCCTATACATTTGTATATCTTGTGTGATAGCTGTTTCTCTAGTAAAACACTGACTGATACATCTGGGTATGGACAATGGATTTATTGAAGAGAGAAGACCCAGTCTGGCGTGAGTGACACCAACCGGTAGGCTTGTAGCCTGGATGGAATAAAAATGGGAAGACGAAAATCTTACTGCTTCCTGCCTGCCCTGCCATGGACTGTTTCCCTCTGCCACACCACCCTGCTTTAGAGCCAGCCGACCATGGACTGAAAGCTCCACAAACCATGAGCTAAAATAATCTTCTCCTCCTTCAACTTCCAGATGTCCAATATTTTGTCCCAGCCTAAGACAGATAGGATACAGGGAATATTGGAAAAATGGACACACAATAGAAAAAAATGTATCAAGCATTTATAATGTGCTAGACACAAGACACAAAAATAAGACAGGCATTCAAGAACTCACAGTCTAGTTAGGAAAAATACAGTTGTTTTTATATTTTATTATGAGTGATTAACCAGATCAATGAACGCATTAGTCCTCAATTCCAAAACTAGCCATTAGGATAGACCCAGATTTAAAGAGTAGAGTTTACCAACCCTTCTTTTTTTTTTTTTTGAGGTAGGGTCTCACTATATAGTCCAGGCTGGCCTTGAACTAGCTAGGTAACCCCAAGCAGGCCTTAGTCTTATGAACCTCCTGCCTTAGCCACCCAGAGTGCTAGGATTGAAAGAGTGTTTCCATGCCCAGCTGCCTCTTCCTTCCTTACTTGGTTATGTCTTTCATTATACTTTCCTACACCACCAAAACTCCAAAAATTTCTAACAGCATATTAAATACATTCAGAATCATACTACAGTATGTGGTATCATTTATCCCAATACAGGAATAACTGAGCTGCATACAAAAAGTTTTAAGTTAATGCATACTGTACATAAGGTCATGCAAACTAGACATTACATCCAGTTATGTTTTGTGTTGTTTTGTTTGGTTCTGTGGTGCTGGGGATGGGGCCCAGGGTCTGCACATCTGGGCCAATGCTCTACCATGCTGCTGCAGGCCAGCTTCCCACTCAAACAGTGCTCAGAATGGTGAATTTAAGGTGTAGACCACTAACATGCATACCGATTTTACAGACTTTTATATCCTCCACTAAAAAAGAAACCCAAAATGTCGGGGTGGAAAT